TATTACAAACATACATGACTGATTACAATCATGTGTGACTGGCCACAATCATGCATGACAGATTACAAACATGTATTGCCAACTACAATCATTGTATGACCTATTACAAACATGCATGGCTAACTACAATCATATATATCTGATTACAAACATGTTTGGCCAATTATGATCACATAAAGATGAGACTTTCTACTCCCGTAAAGATTTACACCCTCGGAAACCCTGTACAGGGGTCGCTATGGGTCGGAACCGACTCGATGGCACTTAACAACAACAACAACATGGCCGATAACAAGCATGTATGGCTGACTACAATCATGCATGACCAAATCAGCTGGTGCCACTCACCTAGGTGACAACACATGCCTTGTAGCTAAGTAGATGACCTTGACCTATCAAAGGAAGGAGCTCTGGTAGCATAGTGGTTATGAATCAGGCTGCGAACCGCAAGGTCAGCAGTTCGAAACTACCAGCTGTTCCATGGGAGAAAGATGAGGCATTCTGCTCCCGTAAAGATTTACAGCCTTGGAAACCCTGTGCAGGGTCGTTATGAGTCGGAACCGACCACGCCACACAGCCACCACCAGGACTTTAAGTTGATCTTTTTTTTGTTGTTTTTAACTTTTTATTATGAATAGAGTGAAGGTGTACAGATAAGATAATCAGCTTTACATTCAACAAATCCTACACTTTGTTCTATCTCAGTGATTACAAACCCTTCCCTGTAACAACAGTTATTCCACTTCCTTCCTGTGGTTCCTATTTCCATTCCACCCTCCTTCCCATCCCTTCTCAACTTTATCCTCTGGAAAATGTTACCTTTTTTTATTGTAAATGATTACTAGCAAGGTATGTTCACCATGGAATAGTCAATGTTTCCCCCCGCTAACCCCATAAACCTATCTACTGCTTGGCTGGAAATGGGGCCATGAGGGTGAGTTCCTTTCCAGACCTGAAGGGTGGTAGAGGGCCATAGTCTCAGGTTCCTCAAGTCTCTTTATGACCAGTAAACCTGGTTTTTATTATTATTATTAAGTAATTTTGAGTTTTGTTCCACATTTCTACCACTCTTTCTGGGACCCTCTAATATGGTCCCTTTCACAGAGCAGTTGGTAGTGGTAGCTGGGCACCATCTAGTTCTTCTGGTTTCAGAGTCATGGTGACTGATGTTCACATGGTCCATGAAACCACTGGACTCATTGATTCCAAGCCTCTTCAGTTCTTATCACTCTTCTTTCTTCCACACTTGGAAAAACCCGTAGCTGCACCTTAGATGGCCACTCATGAGCTTTCAAGATCCCAGATGCTACTCACCCAAGCAGGATGCTGAACATTGTTTTTGTGGACTGTGTTATGCCAGTTGGTCATGGTGTCCCCTGAATCTATGGTCCTGAGCCCCCTGGCCCAGCAATTCATTTCTTTAAGATGTTTGATAATATCTAGGAAGGTGTCATCATTTTGCTCACTGGGTGCTTCACTGCATTCATAGCTGTGTTTGAAGGAAAGGTAAATGCTCATGTACAAACATGCTTTTTCAAACTCTTATATGTTTATGATATATATATATAGTTGTTAAGTGCTGTTGAGTCGATCCTGACCCATAGCGACCCTGTATAGGGTTTCCAAGGAGCAGCTGGTAAGCTTGGACCATTGACCTTGCAGTTCAAACGACTTTGCAGTCTGGCGCATTAGCTCACAGTGCCACACCAGGATATATATATGTATATATATCCCAGTCTTCCTCCCTTACTCATTCAGCCTATGCCTCAATCCATGTATCTATGCATAGAACTCTGTTGTTACAAGGTTGGGTAGGTCACTGTGTACCTCTATCCCCTTTAGCCCATGCATACCTCCCTGTGTTTTCACCTAGCCTCATTATTCTTCTCCCAACTTCTCTCTTTTTGTATATTGTCCTCCCTGCCACCTGAGCTAGAATGTGTCTACTCACCCCTGGTAACCATCAAAG